AATACATCTATTTTTCAAGAAAACTAAGAAGAAAATGGAGGGCATGCCTTCCTTAGTGAAAGAATGCAGGTGATCTAGGACACACCCTGGACTTCTGCTACGACATGCACCTTGTGACCTATGACCAGCGGCCAATAATCCTTATCGCCCAGTCTGCGCTGGGCGATAAGACTGGGAAATAAAATCTCAGGTTTTTTTCATATCAGATCTGACTTCCGATTTTAATAAAAAAAATTTTAAAAAATCCCTCACTTACTTTTGTGAAAAAATATTCCAAATGTCAGAAAATATTTTCAATATTTTCAGTTATCCCTTCTGTGAGCTGTACGACTGCGTATTCAGGCTCCAAGAATTTGTTTAATTACAAGATCGTAGTCAGAATATTAGCAGGAGGAAAACTCAATTTTATCAGGAAAAAAAGCATCTTAAAATTATGTTGTTTCTATGAAAAAAAAAAAAAAAAGCTTTGATAGTTTTCCAGATGTGTTGAAAGAGAAAGTATTTATGTGAAGTAAAACCTATACAAAGGTATAATTTCATAAAATGCTCAACAACTGTTTTTGTTATTTTGGAGAACTTTAACTTCATTTTTACGTTTGAATTCTCTGAATTACTAATTCATTCTACAAGTATTACAACTTTATTTTGGTGATATAATGAATTTTTTCTCAGACTTAAAAGAGGAAGAAGCTGTAAAACACGTTTATGAAAAATTTTCATCTCCAAAGCCCAAAAATATGATTAGTTATCGCCACAGTGATACCCTGGGGACGAAACTGTGAACTTACACTATGAGAATAAATTAGGAAAATGCATCCTTTCAAACTCAAGCAGATTGGCGATTTGTTGTACCGTTCAAGACGCTCCGACATCAGATATGTTTGGTTGGCATCCATGATGTAAGTAAGTTGATTGATGAGGTCCTCTGGCTGAATGACACCCTCCAGCCGTCCCACCACGGTCATCTTGCGGTCCTTCAGCATGATCATGGCCAGGAACGGGTAGGTGTTCTCCCGCAACGCCTGGGACACTAAAACACGGCAAAACACGTTGCGTGCGTTTTAAATCGGCTCGATTGAACGCTTCAAACAGACGTTTCTGCAGTTATTTTAACTCTAAGGTAAATGTGCTTTAATTTTCCAAAAATTAAACCACTTGTGTTGTTAAAAGCAACAGGAGTCTCAATAAGCATGTTGAGTCCTTTTCTAATAGAACTCTAAATTATATCTTTGTATTCACACAATCATTACTGCATTGAATTAAATATTACTTAGAGCACCAAGAGGTGAAATGTAGAACACAAACAGCCTCCAAGTTGTAACACCGCTAAAGGTTATATATTTTTGCACATTGTGACAAACATTTCTTATTTCTTATGCGATCGCATAACGGTCACACACTGAAGAATGATTGTTAGTTTCAATCCTTAAAGCTGCAGCTTGTAACTTTTATAAAACATGTTTATTAAATATTTGTTAAAACTCTCACTGTATTGAGATTTTAATAGGTCACAGATAATCTGTAAAAAAAAAAATAATAATAATAAAGGCTCCTGTGGTCCTACTGCCATCTGCATAAATACACTAATCATTCAGAAACAACCCATCAGAGCCAAGAGGAGGGTCTTAGTGCAGCCAATCATATATGTGTATGCGCTGCTCATGCCTGCTAGTAAGCATGATGACGACAGAGAAGCAAGTGTAATGGTAAGTTGTTTCTCTGCCGTTAGCACGTTGAGCAGTGCGCACATGAGCATGTCAGATAACACTAAAACCTTCTGGCTGGTTGCATCTAACTGGGAGCGGTGCATTTCTGCAAAAGTCAATAGTAGTGCTGGAAGGAAAGCGGCAAAATTTTATGAAACTTACAATTATGTAAATAAATAATTAAACATGTATTAATCATAGGAATAACAGTCGTTACCTCTGTAACCCTCTGGTTTGCTAGTTGAGCATGCCCAGAAGAGCATTCTTGTGTTGAGAAAGGTTATGACCTCTTCCGTACATAATGTGGAGCTAAGAGACAGATAAGAAATAAAACCTTCAAATGGACTGACTTTTTTGTAAGCTTATTTCAGTTTTACATTTTTGACATTTAGATAACTGACTAAAAAACAATAAGTTCTGTACCGGCAAAACTCATCAGTGTCTTGATGATCATTCCCATGCAGATACACCAATAGGTAGCGGAGCTCCCGTTTGGCATCATTCAGTGCCTGCATGAATTACAGTAAACAATGTATTAGACTTTCTTCCCATCTTTTTTTTTTTTTCTTCTGTTTGTTTTCATATCTACAGACTCACCTGGCTGTACGTGCCCTGGTAAAACACGGGGTGCGACTGACCGTATTTTTCTTCAAAACTATGAATGAAAGACACAACGTCTCCGACAGGGTCTGTCACGCGAGCCCTGGGGTCTGGTCTGATGAATCGCAGGGCCAACCTTGGAGCAAAAAACAACACATCACCCAAAGTCCTCTTCCTGATTTGTGATAGCTTGTAATTAAATCCGCTATGATTACCTGAATATATCCAGAAGTGTGTAATAAGTAACTCTGAACGGTAGCATAATCAAATAGTAACCCCATCCTAGTAATCCCTTGGGAAAAGAAAAAAAGAAACAGCACTGATTAACTCTATTCCAACTGAAAACATGTTTCTTGGTATCTATTTCTTAAATCAAAAAGACATACCCTCGGCTGAGGCCTTGAGACGATGTAACTATATACTCTATGGTCTGCTGTGTTGACCTGGAGAGGTCTGGATGGTGGAGGGTTAAACACACTGGGAACTCCTTCCTGCTCATTAAGTCTGTCCTGAACTGCAGCCTGCAACACACACACATGTAAACCCATCAAAATTGAGTTTTTTTTTTGTTTTGTTTTTTAGCATTAAGTGCAACAACAACGGCAGAGCGACAATAAAATGCGACCGCTTTGTCGTGCGACTTTACCTCTATGTTCCAATTATGCTGCTCTAATGTTCGGCGGCATTGGTCCATTGATTCCAACCCAGTTAAGTCCTGTTGGACACAAACAGAAAGTCAGGAGGAAGTCAAAGTAGAAAAGCTGGTTTTAGAACTAATTGATTTTCCTCCCACCCCCACAGCTACAGCTTCGAGCTCCAACTAACTCAGGATTGGAATAAAGTTTTTTTTTTTGTCCCTGATAACATGAGGTTAAATGCTGCTGTGTGTTACGTACACATAACTTGGATTATACTAAACGGGCTACTATCAGTGTTTGCTGAAAAACAGCTTATAGGCCATTTCGGGTCGACATTTCAAATGACTGAGGGTCTGGCATATTTGAGCTCCGCACATTTGCAGTGTTTTGAAAAGCCTGATCTTTGTTTTTTTAAACCTTACATTCGGTGCGGCTCACGTCAAGCTCGGTCATCCCGGGCAGGAGATTAAAAACTAAAATGAGTCCAAAATGTTTGCCTTCAACAAAGACACTCAATTTCTTGCTTTCATTTTTTGTAATCTCTTGTTTGTTTTGGTGATTTCCACACTTGCGTACAATGGTGGCCGAAAGCCAGTGGATTTGTTTTATCTTTTTAAAATCGATTTTGGGGCATTTTATATCAATTCTGAATTGTAGTAAATACGAATGGTGATTCCTATGTGAATCGACTTTTCGTCTTTATTTAAGCTGTTTCTAAAACCTTTGGTCAGCCAAAGCCCTTTGATTTGCCTGAAGTTTTTCTCTTTCGTTAAATTAAAAAAAGGTAATTTAGTTTTCAAGTACCTGTACACCAAATATCAAATAAGAACATGCAAAGTCCAGATGTCATCATAGATGGGAAACTATTTGTTGGTTAATATCTTAAATTTAAATATTATGCTGAAAAAAAATGTGGCAAGTTGAATGCCTCTTTGTTCTAATGATTTTTTTTCCCTTTTACTCTTTTTAACACTGAAAACATTTCTTATACTAATAAAAATCAGACAACTTTTTTCCACAACTAACCATATTATTTAGCTAGTATGACAAGGTTTTGGTTAGAATTGAGCAAATATAGAATAATTTGTGACAATGATAAAGCAATATTAACATCAACAGTAAGTTCTCTAGATGTGTAGATTATTCTGGTTTTACATTCAGATATGAATGAGACTTTGGTTCAGTTCAGTGCAATGAGTTGGGATCTGTTGTGAATTGGCGATACAAAAAATAAATTGAGCTCAATGGAATATGTCAACACCTTATTTGAAGGCATAAGTCAAAATAATTGCAAAAATAATAAAAAAGAAATCCTGTCCAACCACAATAAGTCTTTTCAGCTTTTAAATTAGCTCCCAATATGATTGGATCTGATAAAAACTAAAGTAATCGTTTTGTAAATAGTTACCTAAAGATGACTAAAGCAGTTGATCGCCTGCCATAACTAGATTACTTAAACAAATAGAATATACATTTGACTCGAGTATAACTGAGCTAAATATGACTTGATTTACACGACTAGTATACAGTCTCAACACACATCAGATTAAAGGGACAACATTACATTGCCAGATCTTACTGTCACATCCTAACACGTTGAACAAACGAATCTGAAACACTGAGTCGTCATCAAACTTCAGTGTCAGTCTGAGAATGACAGCTGTGCTAATGTTGACTTAGCAAATGATAAGTAGCCAACGATAAATGGAGACAGAATCCAAGATTAATATTCCTAACAGTCGAAACATTGATGTTTCTGATTCACAGAGTTAGGCCGAGTTTGTGTCTATAAGAACTATATGGCAAAATTGACGCCTTTTTAGCCCAACCACGTCCCAGAAAGTCTGCTAACTTGTTGGTTAGCTTAGCTCCTTTTTGGTAGCTCTGCTTCCAGTTGCCGTTGGGGATCGTTATCGAAGTTAAGTGTATGAAAAAAAGGCTTTCCACACAACCCTTCGACCTGTTCACAACGACCAGCTGTGAGTGGAAACGTATCGACATTGGAGGTTTCAAATGGAAGGGTGTTAACGAGGATTTTTGGCTGTCTACCTGAAATTGAAGGAGTTTTTCAGTCTGCGCCTGGGATAATTCTGGCTCCTCTGGCGCCGCCATCTTACCTCGCCAATCATCTAGCCAGGCGTAAGAACGTCAACCGTCTTTTCCTGCTGCTGGTTGCGTTACCGCACGCCCCGAGCGCTGCTGCCGCCTAGTGCTTTGGATATTGTATTACAATTGTTTTCTGGATATGATTTCTATGTACTCTCTACTGTTAATAAATCACTAAACGTTTCACTAATTTTGTTTTTCTTTCTTATAGGTAAATTGATAATACAACTTTTATGAAGTTAAAACTAAATAAAGAACTCATAATTTTAAGTATATTGTGTATCTAATTCACACAGGCTCAAAATGACAGTTCCTCTAATACTTGCTTCTGGACTACTTTTTTTTATCATTAAGAGGAGTTAAATATTAAAGTGTCTTTAAAACAACAATTGCAGATTAATCATATTAAACTATGCAGAGCTCACTCACTGAAATCTAAACCATCAGCTTCAGTTTGATGCTTGTCTACAGTTCTTGAGTAATATCTGTCTGATGATGTTGCTGATAAGACGACAGTTCTGGGTGAGGTTAGTCAGGTTTTGTATTCACGTCTTAGTATTAATAATGGATGTAAACAGGAAGTCTCTACAATCTTTTAACGAAACTGAGTAAAACTGTGATTTCATTTCTGCCCCCGAGAAATGATGAAATATTAGAAAAAAGCCTGTTATCTAAAAGGATAACATTATAGTCATGTTTATAACAAAGCTATAACAATAGAGTAGAGTGTCGGATCTAGATGTCTCCAATAGTTGACAGGTTTTATACCATTCAGGGTTGTATTAACTTCTGTTTCAGCACAACATCCATCCCCGCAGCTCAGTTCAAGACCGGCGGCATTACTAAAGTGGAAGAACACATTTTTATGACTTCTGTTTTTGTTGTTCCACCTTCCACTAGATGCAAACTTTTCTTTGTTCAAAATGTTTTTTCACCAGCAGAGTGAGTGAGAGTTCGTATTAAAAGAACAAATATTTCCTGAGAGTATTGCTTAACAAATTAAACATATTTTTGATCCTCCTAGCTAACTTAATTATACCATATTCTAAACAAAATCTGTGTATATAAGCAGAAAGTAATAGTTGCATTATCTAGACACTGACCCTACTTTTTATATCTTGGAGCATTGAGCACACAAAATATCAAGCAGTAACCAACTGAGCACAAACAAGTAATAATATAGGATAAACTGAATATTTTTTAGAATTAAAAAAGACACAAAATTAAGAAGAAAATAAAATTCATCCTTAACATCTTGTACATTAGCATGTAAGAGCACGAAATGTTGCAAAACCATTTGACTTTTTGTGCACCATCCAGGGTAGTATTCATGCTTTAAAAAAAAAAAAAAAAAAAACCCTTGCGTAATTGCTGTCTGATTAGTTTTGTTGTGACCACATAACATTTGATGTGTCATCTTGGGCAAGTTCTAGAAATTTGAACCAAATATGGGCTTGTGTGCCATGGCTTTTGAAAGTTTCAGTCTGTTAAAATACAACTACGATATCAGACGCTGATATATCGTTTTTCATCATGTGTATGCTGTAAAAACAAGAAACAAAGCTCTGAAATGTTTCAATATATGTTACGAATCTGCATAAGTCTTAGGTTTCACTTTCTGAAATGAAAGACAAAAAGAATATTTAATCTTTTGTAATATTTTCATTTTTCTGTACAACCACTTTTCACACACAAATCAATACTGCAGATTTAACACAACATAAACAAAATTTATTAATTTGCTTGCGTTGGCATTTGCATTGCAGAAGTCTTAAAGTCAAGTTAAAAAAAAAAACAATAAATGAGAAGGTTTATTTTGAGAAAACAGACCTAGAATAGAAGTGAACATTTTAATAGATTAACTGGACAATATCTTTTTTCCCTCCTCAATGTTTCTGCACAAATGTGATATTTATTCCAAAAGAGCTAGCCTGTTCTACTTTTTCCCCTCGACCATAATGATATGATATCCAAACTTCGTCTTGACAGGTGGGTCTGTGTAGACGGGTTTATCCATCGAACTGACGGGTAGAGCAAACGCTGCCTCCTGGAAAGGTCCGACCATGGAGCCTCGCGTCATCCAACCCAGGTCACCCTGTCATGGAAGAGCAATATTCTTGATATGAGTAAAAGCATGATGCAAGCATTAAGATTTCCAAAACTGGACACATACATTTATCCTAAGATAACCACTTCATTGATGTTTCTTTCAATTTCAGAGGAAACCGTGAGTGGGTGTTCTGGTCTCTGATGCAGGTGGAATAAAGATGCTAAATAAAACAGCTATCAGCACTGACGCAGTCAAGAATCTTAGATTCATGGTTTGATCATGACTAAGAGCTCATTGTAAGGTCACTTAGTACTATTACCTTGCACTTATTTACAGAAGGTGATGTTTTCCAGCAAACGGTGACACAAACAGAAACTTTGCTAAAAGATGTGATGCGTCAGTTCATTCAGGTATATCTGACCTCAGTCAAACAATGAATGAGATCAGATGGAAATTTTAAAAAAAAAGATAATAATTGTGAGCTCAACTACAAGAAGGATGTATGCGTAGCACTTACTGGAATTGTGAAAATCAAGATGCAAAAATACGTAGCTAGTAATAAAAAATGAATTAAAAAAAAGAGAACCGACTGGGATACTTGCGCATACTTACTCCTTGTCTTGCTTTGTCTTCACTGTATTGCGTTGCTACTTCACTGAAACGAACTCCAGCTTTCAATTTCTCCATGGCCTCCATGCATTTTCCGTGCTTTTCACAGAGAATGTGTCGGACCTGGGGAGAGAAATATGTTGGGAGGTTTACAAATACAATTTGCTGAAACTGATGATTCTTCAGCATTACTGACACCGTACGGCCAGGTCAACATTTCCTAACAGATGACATTTTATATGTTCCCCTCATGCCTCTTGAACCTTTTCGTATTTTGTCACAATATAAATTTATATGTATATTTTGGGGAAAATTTTGTGAGAGACCAACACCAAGAAGAGGCCTAGGATTCTTCCTATCCTTTTCAAACAGAAAAATACTGGTAAGCAAATTATTTTGTTCTCGGTTATGTATGCACATGATTTCTCTTTCGTACTGATTGCTTTGTTTCTTGTTTTAAAAAAAACTGTTTGACATAAATAAATCAAATCAAGAACATAATTAATAAATGTAACGAAAATGAAATACATAATTTTCATTCCATGCTATGGGAGCTGAGGAAATCCACAACCATCCACCCCAAATTGATAAATGGAGGCAGAACCATGCTGTGGGGATAATGTTTTCTTTAGCAAGGACAGGAAAGCTGGTCAGAATTGACAGGGAGATAGATGGAACTAAATACAGGGCTATCCTGGAAGAAAACCTCCTCGTGTGTCAAGGAAAGTCCTAGTCAAAGTCCACACCTACATTTAGATGAGACTCTGTGGCAAGAGTTGGGAACTGATCCAAACGGACCTTCTCCAGTTTGGCTCAGCACTGCAAAGGTGGTTCTAGAAAGAAACATCTACGCATTCCCTACCACTTTACAACTGATGTGCTCCTTTGTGTTGGTCTTTCAACCAAAATTCAAACATAATACAATTAATGTTGCGATAATAACATTGGAATATGTGCAGGTTTTACACCAATGCTCCACAAATAAAATAAAAGGTTTTAGAGGTCAGACAAAATGTGACAAAAACCCTCAATAATACCATCTATATTGGCATGTTTTATTTTATTTTACAGAGTTGCTGGAGTTAAAGTGTATAGAGAATACCTTAACAGCTGTGCCTCCCTTAGGCGTCTTTTCCTTTTTGTCAGCGTCCGAACTTCCTGAAGCAGCTCCTACACAGATAACACCACAGCACACGTCACACCAGAGTGGAGAGCCACACGTTATTCAGAGTAATGTTATTGTAAACTCTCCCATTACACTGAAGTACATCAGTGTATGCTAACTTAAAGGCTAGCGCCTGCAGCTGACAATATCAGATTAAAACACATCATAAACAGCAGCTACGCTGTGGGACACTGACCTTTACCACCCTTTCCACCTTTTCCCTTCGGTGGCATTCTTTCTGCTAAACGTGGGTTTGAAATTTAAGCAAAAAACATCCAAATGATAACGTGGTTTCGAGTGTAGTAATAAGCATGCGCAGTAAACTGCTGCACAGGACTGTTTTGGTTTCTTCTTCTTTGACTTGTTAGTTAGTAGCGAAGTAAAACAAGCCACAGCCACAGCGCCATCTCGTGTTCAGCATCGTCTTTGCAAACTCACTTGGGTGGTAACTTTTTCAAAATGTATGTATTTATTTTTAATTATCTTGCAGTAACATTAGCCTGCTATTATTTTTAAGAACTTGTCTAGTTTTTTTCTGCTTTGAAAAATAACTATGTATTTACCATATGAAACCCTGAAGTCCCACAGAAGCAGTCCCCCAATTGGATGTTCTGCTTAAGAAACTACTGCATCTATGAAATGTATTCAGGTGTATAAATCCCGAAGTAGCAATCATCCTACGATCTCCAGCCAAAGGTTGATTTCATCTGCTGTAAAACACTAGGGTAAATAACATATTCAGCATTTTCCTCATGTACTTTAGCCTAATGCAATTCCACTTTTCACCGTCTCAGGACCTTTGGGAAGGTTTGTCCTCCAGACCTGGGATGAGCAAGCAGAGGCAGCAGCTGAAAATTTCTGCAGTTTTCCCTGCTGTACCTGTGTTTTCTTACTTAATTCCTCTAATCTTTCTTTTATTTTGTCATTTCTATTATCGCCTGATAATACAGACCAGAAAGCTATATCTGGTGAGAGCATTTCATTTATGATTTCAACAGTCATATTTTGTTGTGCTGTAATCAGATATAGTTTTTCCTATTGTATTTTTCTAAATATACTACCCGTTTTTTGTTGTGAACTAATCAAAATACACCGATATGGACAAATGTTTAAGACATCTTGTTTTTCAAACACTTTACTGAATCACTGTTGCATTTTTGATATGGTGTTATACAGTTCAACAATAAACAGATTAATTTACAGGAGCTGCTGCTGCTAACTGTGAGTTAAGTGAAAATGGAGGGAAGCAGAGCGGTCCATCACAGAAGAAGTGGCAACAGAGTGGCTGTTGATTAAATACACATCCAATATCCTGCTGATCAAACCTGGTGTCATCTCTGTGTCTGGTATTTGCTGGACTGCCTCTGGTATAAAATATTTTCTCTCATAGCAGCCATTGTGGCTCCAAACCTCTAGAGTGTGTTTAGGGTCACCCCGGGATAGTATGACCCTCTACCTCACAGTGTTTCCTTTTTCATCCACATTATGCTGTGTCTCCATACAAAAGATAAAATTACTTAAACATGCTGAAGACCAAAATTAGTTTTTGGTGCGTGTGATATTAAGGTAGAAATGAAAAAAAACAACAAAAAAAAACATTTCCAATTAGCGGTAAAACTGGTACAAATAAAAAGTCAAATGTGAGAGCTTGTAATGTTTAGGTCTTTTTTTTTAACAAAGTTGCATAAATTTCCCTGTTAAAGGTCACCTTATTTTTTTCTTCCCTTTATGCTTTTCAGTTCATGAAATGTCATACAGAGACATATACCACATATCACCGAAAAAAATGGGTACACTGATAAAAAAAAAAAAAAATGTGTGAAGTACATTAATCTTTTATAACTACAGCAATAATTTCACATTCAATAACTTGTAGCAGTTTTCAAGCTGTGACTCATTGACCCCACAGTAGCCATCTTCTTCACCTTTACATCATTACAACTGATGTAAGTTGTTCATCTTACATCAGATGAACAACTTATGTCATGAAGATAACTGCTATCGTAAAATCTGAAAAGAAGTCCTGCCTAGTGTTTCAGCAAATTTCGCTCCAAAAGGAAATATGCAGTCTTTACTTTTAGAACAGGGCTTTACTTTTCTAAAACCGTTAAGCTCTGTGACGTCTTTACTTCTCATGATCGCACGACTTCCTGTTTCCCTGCGTATCGAGAAGACATGACACAAAGATCTATTCCTGTTCATCAGTCTTAAAAGTGAGAAAGGGAAGAGAGCGCAGAACTTTACAAAGAAAGAAAAAATGTCCGGTTCAAATGAAGCAATAATTGAAGGATTCCAACCGACTGGAAATGAGGCAAAGAGGTTAGAAAAGAAGGAGCCGCTTTTTATGCAATATCACACAAATCACTTTAAAAGTAAAAGTTTTTAAATAATTGTTCTATAAGTGGAAAACATCTGCTGCCATGGTGCAGGCAGAATAACAGAGTTTGCTTGATGTTCCACAACATGGGTTCAAACTGAACACTTGATGGGGCTGGAGAGAACGCATGCATCCGAATATTCACTTTGATAAGAACAGAGATATCAAAACAATGTACAGAACAAGTCCCTGGATTACTACTTACATAAAAACTAAAGTGAATGTTTGAAATGTCATTTTTGATTAACTAAAAAGTATTTTCTTAACCTTTCTTTTTTTTGTGCAGCTTACCTTTCACTCTTATCTTTGTCTCAAC